GTCTGCTAACAAATGTTTTCTGTCGCTGCATTGCTCAAACCTGCGCCGGCCTCTCCTCTGCCACCTGTGCCCCCACCCACGACCCAGAACAAAATCGGCTGCAACTCCAGCCAAGCGCCCTGCCAAGATGTAAACCATTACACAAACAGAATTGTCAGGCCTGCACCGAGACACCACAGGAGCAGGCCGCGGCACAGCCGCAGCTTTGGCCCTCTTGTATTTCTTGCTAGCAGCGTCAATGCGCTTGTTCAACTCCGAGAAGTCTTGCCGGGTCCACATCAGCTGCTGCAATTGGCTCTTTCATGGGGGAAAATGTCGTCCCTTGCACATGTGGAATCCCTTGTCTTTTGAAGCACATTCTTTTTTCTGAACCCCGTTGCACAGCCCAACATGAAAGACTCAGTAAGTCGTTTCAGGGTGGGAACCAAAGCCTTCCCACATGTGTGTTTGGCACTGATGCGCTTGGATGATTGTTGTTGAGCAACTGAAGCCAGCAACAAAACTGGTTGAGAACTCTTGCTTTCAAAAGAACAGAAGCTACTCACAGCAGTGCTCCCCAGTGAGCAAGAGCTTGCTAAACTGAGGAGGCCCCACCTAGAGTGTCCAGTTTTCCTGCGTCAGCAAAAGCCCCGAAACCAAGTCCGTAACTTTGCCTCTGGATCACTGGCCCAGCAACCCCATCATACTTTTCTGATCGCCTTCAAAAATCGCAGGAGCGTGTCTCCAAACTGAGCAGCTGCCCTGAGGATACCTAGTCTTCCTCACCATCACCATCAGCAGCACCGCCTCCAATGAGAACTGATTTAGAGCAAACTTCGGCCATGAGCAACACACTCAAAACCACATCCACCCGCGCGCCTTCGCCGCGATCACTCTCAGATGAAATGGCATCAGCCTCCTCCACATCATTCGCACCTGGTCTGCCAAGAGCTCCACACACGCAGAAAGCAAACAAACAGTCTAGACCTTCCCCTGCAACGCCAGCTGCAGCGCCAGCTGGCAGATTTGGAGGGGGAGCACCATGACCTGTGAAAGTGACACGCGCATAAACAGCCACAATTCCGGGGATCTTTTCACGCAAAAGACTTTCCGCGCCATCTCCACCACCAGCTGCTACCACCGCAGCTCCACCACCTCCGAGAGTGACACGCGCATAGACAGCCACAATTCCGGGGATCTTTTCACACAGAAGACTTTCCGCGCCATCTCCACCACCAGCTGCGACCACTGCAGCTCCACCACCTCCGGACGCAAATGCCCCATGAGTGAATGCTGGGCCGTCCATCGGGCACCTGGCCTCCTGCTCCCGCTTGGTGCACCAGGAGTAACAGGTCGTCACGGCTGAGTTGCCGGGCAGCCTAGTGCGAAACAGCAGCAACTGTATTCAAATTTCGAAGATGTCCAAGCCTGCATCAGGCGGGCACGTCGTTTTTTCATATTCTTCTCCTGCTTTGCCAATGCACGGTTGGCCGCGCGCATCGCGGCCCGTCGTTGCTTCAAGTCATTCAACTCCTCCGCGAGGACCTCACCAAGGAACCAACAGTTTGCGCAACAAGAAGACACCCCACACAAAGCTTAGACCGCCTCCACGCGATTCCTCTTTGGAGGCATGTCCTGATTACAAACGGAAACGGCACGCGCGTTTCAATTGCTTGGCGTTACAGTCCGGCCTCTGCGCGCGTTCCCACAAAGAAACCGTTTTGAACACACAGAGCTGTGGACAGGCGTGCATGCACTTCTCACTGTGAGGCCTAACCTAATTACTCGGCTGCGCTGTGGGCACCCACATCAACATTGAAATGGGGAAGGGAATGGGCAGGGCGGTGTAGCATTCTTGTAGAGAAGCGCACCGCTGCACAAATCAAGAGTGTACCCAACACAAATCACGAAGAGTGCCTGTGCACTGTACCCAACACAAATCAAGAAGAGTCCCTGTGCACAAATTGAGAAGTGTACCTGTGCACAAATCGAGAAGCGCACGGCTGCACAAATCAAGAGTGTACCATCCACAAATCAAGAAGTGTATCACTGGCAACAAAAATCGAACGCCAAATAGCCGCAAAAACTGTCAAGGTGTGAGCCGCTGATTGCGGAATGGTCCGGTTCGACTGTGGTCACTGAGTTTGACATGGTCAACTTCGAACCTGGGTCTCTGTGTTCTGGATGCCGCAGTTCGCCAAATACCGCGGTCGAGTTGGGCTGCGGTCACTGAATTCGAGGTCAAGTTCCAGTGCGGGTCTCCAAATTCAGGATGGCGCGGTTCGCAAAAGATATTTGGTCATATATTTGCACACTAACATGTTCATACTCTATATGTTTGGTTCACGGTTTATGTGACCAAATGTCAAAAAAGTCAGAGGGCAAGATAGCCACGTGAAAGGACAATGTGGCTCACCTTCTCCAGGACGACCAAACGGTCGCACGCAGGATGTTCTGAACAAAAATGACCAATGTGGACACTGAGTTGGAGACGGTCACGTTTGCACACCAAACTGCAAATCTTAGAGGCGCCTAAAACAGGTGTAAGGCGCATAACTATGTGCGTGAACAGCGACACACCATGTCAAAACATGGAGGAACAGCAGTTTGGCTTGCTAACACCCACAAACAGAAACACATTCGTAAAGTTGCGTCCGCCCTTTCAATGGAAGCCTGGGCTCCCCTCTCAAGCAAATGCCTATGCCTACGCGGGATGCCTACGCAGGGTACTGTCACCAACTTTAGTCACATCAGGTGACTCGAAAAGAGCTATATAATCCGCAAGTAGTGGCCCGATGCGACTGGGTCACATCAGGTTCCTGTTTATCTTTCCCCAAGACCCTTGAACAACTTTTAAAGAAGTCTGAATAAGAAAATTCAGGCTTTCATGAAAAGGGTGCCTACGCAAGACTGCCTACGCAAATCTTTCAACACCCACCTACGCAAAATGCTTACACGACGCCTACGCCCCAAGCAGAACAGCCTCCGCGACTTCTCAACAGTTCCCTTTTTGTATAAACCTAATCATTTGAAAAAAAACGTGGCTCATATGGCCAAAGACATCCTCATCTTCCGGCTCCTGACAGATGGACTAATTCCATTGAAAGGCCGATTTCAAGTTTCAAGTTTCTGCTGCAAAATTCCATGGAATTAAATCGTAACATGTTCCACACATGGCCGCACCTGCAACATCTCATCGGAAGCTGGCAGTGGCAGCACCGCCGAAGAGGAACTGGTCAAAGAAGCACTGTTCTTACGAAGATCAGAACCGACCTCAACAAACCACATCCTCCACTCAATCGCCACCAAGTGTTCCTCATGCCGGGCTTCGTCGGGCAGGAACCCACGCTTGTCCCAATTGGTCGTGAAGCACCGCATGCCCGGAGGCAACATACCATCCTCGCGTCGGCAGGACGCAAACCTGCAAACGGTGTTGTCCAGCCAGGACTTGGCGTCATCAACCGAAGCAGATCGGAGGCATACATCGTCAACCAAAAGAGATGTCGTGCTTTGAAACAAACATCGCTTGACCACATCCAGCTTGTCCAAAAAATAGTAAGCACCGTGTTCCGCCAGCAGGGCGGCGCACAGAGCCGTCTTGCCACAGTTCCCAGGCCCACTGAGAACCAGTGTGCGATCCAATCGGTGTTTGTCACGCCATTCCTGGAGACCGGGAGGAATCTCGAAGTCAGCCACGCCGAACTTGGAAGTTGTATGAAGAAGTGTTGGGGGGCATCTTCTCCGAATTCCAAGCACGCAGGCACCTGGCCAGAAGCCGCTCTGGATGGATTGCTTGGCCGACAAAATTCCAAAGAAGATCGTGCCCTTTCAGTTTTTGGTCCTTGGCCAACTGAAATAATTGCTGTTCCGTTTCCACCCCAGCTTCTATGACCAGGTCCGTAAACTCCGAAAAGGACAATGACTTCCGACGCTTGGTCGGACGCTTGGAGCACTCTTCCGGTCGCTTGGACGACGCTTGCACAGCAGCTTTGACACCTTCGTTTCCATTTCGATGCCGCTGACTGTTTGAAACTCTGTCCATGATCTCTGCCGCGTGTGATGCT